TATCAAGCACAGTGAGTCAACCAGTTGTCTTTGATGCAACTTGACTCAGCAGATTCAGGGAACCATTCAAGGCCTGTCAGCTGTTTATGTGATTTTATTATGTTTTTACTGCCACCATGTGGAATGTCATTGGAATTGTTTTGTTCCAGGCTCCAATGTCTTCCAAGGATGGAAAACCTCAGAAAATGAAACCTTGGAAAGGGCCTTATCTTGTGTCAGACCATGGGTCCAGCTAGCCCAGTATGGTAGACCCTGACCAGCAGCAGCTTTCCAGAGTTTCAGGCTGGAATTTTTCCAACCTTACCTGGAGAGGGTTGGGATTCTACCTAGAACCTTCTTTGTGCATGTAGAAAGGGACTGAACTTGGAACCCTCCCCATGAGAAGTTGGTGCTTACCACCAGAGCTGTAGTTTTGCTGCTAATATGAAGCTGTACTTGAATCATATGTCTTTTAATAGATCCATCTATTTCCTCTGTTTTGTCTGAGGACAAAAAAACTAAGTGGTGCGCTTACAATGCAAGTGGAGGTCTTTATGACGGTATTTAACATCTATTAAAGTCCCATCTCCCCACACTGTAAATAACCTCTTATAAATGTGGCATCAGCTGTTTCCTTTCCGTGATGTTTTCTTCCATTAGAGTCAAATAAATAGCTGTCTTATTATGAAGCTACTCACTGTAGATCAAAAGTCAGCCACTGAGTCATGCACTTCCAACTCTGCAAATGCCTTAAAGATATTAGCTTTGTTTGCAAATCTGCTGTTACCGGAGACAAAGTAAAATCTAAACAACTGTCATCCATGTTAATTCTATTTGTAAATAACATTTTTGGAAAACCACAAAGAATATAAATAGATTAATCATGCTATTTTTCTGGTCTAGTTACCACTATACTTGTGGTTCCATACACAAGTACATACCGTGCAAACATTTATGTTAACTTTGACTGTTTTGAGTGATTGTTTAAATGAATATTAACGGACTTTTCAACAAAAATGCAACCTAAAAAGAATTAAGGTAGTTGCATGACATTCTGAAGATTTCATTACTTTCTGTGACTGAATTTTAAGTAATGTTTTAGCAATGTTTAAAGTGATCATGTAACTTTGTAATGAACGATGATAGTGCCACACTGAAATAACCCCTGGTGCTACTGAATCTTATAACCACATACAATTAGATCATGAAAAACATCATGCTGAACTAAACATATTTTATAAAATATGACATATTCTATGTAAGGAGAAAAACAGTGCCATATGCTTACAACTATATACTTGTTAAACTCCATGCTTTTTAAAGCGCATTGATGGCATGTTTGTTTATGTACAGTGCTGGATCCAGGTTTTGGGGGGGCTTGGTACCCCTCTTGCAGTGACCCTAACTTCTGACTACAACGGTCAGCTCCTGATACCCCTTTTCATCATTGGTATCCCTTGCTAGTTTGGAAGGAGCAAGTTGGTGAGAAGGAGCAGAAGCAAATATCACTGTCATGCCCACTGCTTAGTACAGAGAGGCAGGTGAACAAGCAGGTTGCTGGGATCAAGGAATACAGCAGCTCCAGGGGGTTCTCGCCAGTAGGACTCAACTGAATATCACCCTTGGCAGATATCCAACCATGGCTACCTCTGATGCTGGCCATTCATATGTTGCGTACTGTGTTCTAGCAGATTTGAACAGTGCCATATTAAATTGCAGTCTATGAACTTCTGCGAAGTTATGCAAGGAAAAGGTGGAAGAGGGAGGAGGAGGAGGAGGAGGAGACACCATCAGTGTCCACAGAGCGTTATAGAATAGCCACAAAGACAGATCCTTTCCTGAAGAAGTTTAACAACTCCCTATGGTTTGGTTTGCTTTCTTTTTCTATGCAACCTTTCTATCAGTAAATGCTGGCATTCTCCAACTTAAGAGCTTCTGTGCTTATGCAAGTTTTAAGTCTCAAGCTGAAAAGGTATCATAATTGCTAAAACAACAATCAATGGGAAGAGTATTTCTCCTTTATCCTCAACCCACCCACTCCATCTCTGCCTCAAATACATCGGCCATAGTACCTCCAAATGATACATAGCCATTGGGTGATGAAAGTTTCAGTCCAACACATCTGGAGGGGATCAGGCTGGGGAAGAACGGCATGGCCAAAAAGAAATAGATCAAGTAGCTCACCTGAACCTACTATGGAGAGAGGCAAAGAATAAGTGCCAATCAACTTTAGAGCCAGAGGCTGTACTTGTGTCTTTTGAGGGGTGAAGAAACAGCTCACCCTGCAATAGAAAAAAATGCTGTTTCTTTCTAGGTAGGCTTCAGCACACAGCCTCAGAGTGGTTGACCCGATCCTGAGCCGGCCGCTAGAAGGCAGTGCTCAATTGCATTAAAAGACCTGCAGTGTTTGCTAAACTAAACTAACTTGCCAGTGCACAAATAGCTGGAAAGATAACTGAATTAATGTTTGAGCTATTTCCCCCATCCACCCACTGCTCATTAAAAGTTTGAAAGTAAAATCAGTGTCATTAGATATATATTCTTTGTAGTCCAAGCCTCTTTAACTGTTGTTGATGCCTTGCTTCTCTGTTTTTCCAAAATATCATGAAATGGAGCAAAGCTTTAAAGTTGTGAACACTCCAAATGGTAAGGGACCTTTAGTGATCCACTGTGAGGAATTTACAAACATTTTGCTGATAAAATTGCTCAAATCTACATTATAGACCCACATTAAAAGGTAAAAATGTAAAGGTTTCCCCTTGACATTAAGTCTAGTCATGCCTGACTCTAGGGGGCGGTGCTCATCTCCGTTTCCTGGCTGAGGGAGCCAGCGTTGACTAAACACCGAAGTGCACGGAACACTGTTACCTGCCCACCGAAGTGGTACCTTTTTATCTACTTGCATTTGCACGCTTTCAAACTGCAAGGTTGGCAGGAGCTGGGAAGGAGGAACGGGAACTCACCCCATTGTGCAGATTTGAACCGGCAACCTTTCAAACTACCAGCCCAGCAGCACAGCGGTTTAAGGATGCATTAATCGATCAGTGTAATTTTGTTCAGAGATGGATGTTTGAAAGGACAGTCAGAAAAGTGAAGCCTGATAGCTAATTATTATTCATCCTGGCTGATAAAAGCTATCAGAGGAGGACTAGCCAGCTGGATTGTAGACACTGAAGGGCTTTCTTCCCATTTCCTACAAGAGGAAGCTGTGAAACCATTCATGAAGAAGCCATCATGCACAATTTTCAATCAGTGTCTGATCTTTCATTTTGACTAAGATTATACAGTGGGTGGGTGCAGCTCAGCTCTAGGTTTTTGCAGATATAGCTGATTCTTTAGATCCTTTCGAATTTGAAACAGTCTGGGTGGACCACCTATACTAGGTCCTGAACAAGTAGAGCACACCCCTGTTGGATCTCTTAGTAGTATTAGCCTTCATCAACCAGTATCCTTCTGGGATGCTCTTTAGCACCGCTTTGGCAGCAAGTTTTCACAAAATGGCACTGGGAGAATCATTCTTTGACACTTTGCGCATTATCCTACAGCAAGGATGGGCCTATCTGGCCAGTTTTGTGACCCTACCACACCACCCAATGTAGCAACTGCAAATTTTCCTGGTTTTTTTTTTTGGTTCCTCTGGGGTTTTCTGCTGGGAAAACATGCCCACTCATGGCCTATGGGGTCCTCAAGGCTTTATTTTATCCCCTTTGTCCTTTAACACCTATGTGGAACTGTTGAGAGAGATCATTTCAGGGTCTGAGACTGGGCCTCATCATTATGCTACAGATACCCAGCTCTACCAGTTCTTGCCAAGGAAGGTGTAGAAACCCTGAACCCTTTGCTAGCATGAAATAATGGACTGGATGTAGGCTAGCACATCGAGGTTCAATTCTGACAAGGCAGAGGTCTTGGTGGCCAGTAGTCTGATCTGGGAGTACAATCTGAGCTGGACAGGGCTGCATCTCCTCTGAAGGAATGAATATGCAGCTTGGAAGGGCTCTCAGCATCCAGAAACAGAGCCACATCAGCTGGCGGCAATGGCCAAGAGTGCCTCTGCCCAGCTCTGGCTGGTCCATCTGAAGAGCTCCTTCCTGAGGAAATGGATGCGGTCACAGTTAACCATGCTTTGGTCACTTCCTAAATTATACTGGTTTTATTGTTTTGCAGGGTTTCTAATTCTCTGTTCTTAATCATTGTTATTGTTTTAATTATTTTAATATTTATTCTATACACTACCTTGAGGGGCATACCACTGAAAAGGATCGTAACAACAGTCCTAACAACACTAATGTGTAATTAAGAAATGTATCCATATTATTCTCATTTTTGGCAGAGGTTGCTCTTTACACTATCCTTAGCATAAATGGGATTCCAGCTAATTGTCGGTCAATTAATTAGCCACTTGCCAGGTCTTTTAATCAGAGAGAATCCTTCTGGCAAGCCAGGATAATTTAAAAGAAACTTCTCCCACCACTTCAGGCTTCTTCCATTATCACAGATGGTGCTTGGAGTCAGAGGAATCCTGCCTCCAAGAGCAAGAGGGCATTGTGCAGCACTGTTCTCTCTGCTTATCCTGAGCACGTTTTCTTCGGTAAGAACACGTGTATAGAGAAACAGAAACACCGCCAGGTCATGTCCAGTGGCCGGGTGGAGTTTCCAGCCCCAAAAACAGCGTCCGGCCGCCCCCACGAAAGACAGGCAGCTCCGGCCCATGCCGCGATCGCTCCGCTGAAGCTCCTGTGTTATACCGCCAACCACGCGCGAGCCAAAACTGACGCCGACCACTACTCGAAGTGTGCCCTGATTCCCTGATAAATACGACAGCCTGGCAAGCCACTCTCCTCGTCAAGGATTGGAGGCTCTTCGGATGCACCCGCCTTCTTCCCCCGCCTCTTGTGTCTGTCGCATTCGCCTCATTGATTCCGCAACGTGCTCGTCATGCAGAGGATCCAATCAAAATCGTGCCAGCACTTCAGGCGACCCTGCCCCGAGTCCAGGAAAGAAATAAGGAACTGTGGGAGGAGCATTCCCGGATGGCGGAAGCGGGTGAAGCGTGTCTCCTGTTCGTGTGAAGGGGAAAATAAACGCGAAGGGCCCCGACAGTTTCCCGGACTTCCTCAGAAGTAAGCTCCGTTGCGTTCTGTCAGGCTTACTCTCTAGCAAGCGTGCCTGGGGTCGCAGCCTTACGGGGATGGGATGGGATGGGATGTGGCGTGAGTCCAAAGGGATGGACTCAAGAAGTGTCACCGATTTAAAAAATAAGGGGGCAGAATCTGGATATCCGAAGGTTGGCGCTTCCTTTAGCACATGGCTACAAGCCCGATGCATTTTTATGCATCTCTTGGTTAAATTTCTATTTCGCCGTTCCTCCCGAGAAGCCACGATCGTGCTCTTCACGGTATCCTCATAACAGCCCTGTGAGGTAGGTTGGGCTGAGAGTCAGTGGTAAGCCCAAAGTTGCATAGAGAGCTTCATGACAGAGTGGGAACGAGAAGCTAGGTCTCCCCAGGTCTAGCTGAGCGCTCTAACCACTACACTCACTGACATTTTTGTAACTGCCTTGGGGGATCGCTTCTGCATATACTGGAAATGGTATCCCACTTCCTTAAAACCAACCACTCTTCAGCTTACCAGCATGGCAATGTGAGCATGTCTTTATCCTTCACCGCCCACCCCTACTGCATTAATTTGGTGTAGGGATTGCATTATGTTCTTGCTTTCTTCAGATCTGTTGATTCTGGCCGTTTTTAAGGTGCGCTTTCCATCTGTTGAACAAACAACAACTGAGCACATAAGTCTGGGATACAGGAGCACACGTCATCTTGGCCGGTTGGCACCAAGATCTACAGGACGTGAAGCAAATGTCAAGCCAGGCACTGCTCAGAGAAGAGGGGGATGGAATGAAACTGTGTGACAAAGAGGAGCTAAACAGAAAGGTCAGTGGGGAAGTAAGGAATGAAGCCATATGAAGAACTTGTTCATGGGTAAAGGTATCAATGATATCTCCACGATCAGAGGTAGTATGCCTCTGTATACCTGTTGGGGAACACAAATGATAGGATGCAGTTACATTTACATCTTACTTAACAGGCAGCTGTTTGGCCTCTGTATGAACAAAATGCTAAATTCAATGGATTTATGGTATGATCCAGCATGGCTCTTCCTATGTTCTTAGATTAATGTCTATATAATTTCTAGTGTGAGACCCTCAAGCAAGCACTAACCTCTTCACTTAAAACCGATACAAAGAACTTGCGGTGAAGTTTTGAAATAATGGCTTATAATAAGCCAATGGCTTATTTTCCTAAAAGGGCAGTTCTAAACATTCTAGGGAGTAAGCTCCAATTGAATACAATTGGACTTCCGATTACTGTGCATAGGATGATTGGCACCTGATTGATGTTATAACTTTTCAATCTACAAGTATTTACAATTTACAAGTAAGTATTTCAATTTACAAAAGTAAGACTCTCTTTCAGAGTCCTCTTAAGAGAAGGTTCCCTTCTAAAGTGTGGGTGTTCCTCAATAAAAAGACACAAGACAGCTACATTATTATGCATTCGCAGAAGATGCTTGCAAAAATTAGCTACCGCCATGTAGCTTTTAGCTACCCAAAAGTGTGTCTTCAGAGCCACTCAAAGTTTAACTTGTATTGTGGGTGGGCATGAAAAACATGTGGTGTCATCTGGATTCAGATAATGAAATGGCATGCTGCTAGCAATTTTAAAGATGTGCTTTGGGGGGCAGGGGAGAGTTTAACTAGGCTTCGGCAAGGGGCGGCATAGAAATGTTCTAATAAATAAATCTAATAAAATAAAAATACTATGGTTAAAATTCTGTGTAGACCTTATTGGCTAAATACTTTGAAGCAATAACAGAGCACTTTTATGGCTGCTAGATAGTGTCTTGGTGGTCATAGGATTGCATGGATCCTCAGTTATGAGGTCAGAAAATCACTCTGACTTTGTACCTTGGAACCTATATTCAAATTTCCCTCCACTGTTCTCAGCCAGCACAGAGAGAACTGCACTGGCTGTTTCTCAGAGGTGGGTTTTCGGGATTGTTCCAGGGGAAGGAAGAGGAGGTGCAAGGCACTATCATGCTATCAGGAATTCCAGCAGTGCCTCAGTCTCTGTTCCTTCTGAGTCAAACATTTAGATGGCCAAAATCATCTTAAGTGATTTTGGAGGTCAAGGAAAGTGCAGTCAAACCTTGCCTCCACCCTTCTCCTTCCATGTATGGAATGCCCCAAATCTTCTGAGATCAGAGCATTACCGGCAGCCTAATTGGATTGCTCCCTGAGCATTTTTAGTGAGGATGTTATGTACCTGAAGTGGCTAAAATCTTCGCAGTATTAGCCAGTCTTGTTTGGGAGACCACTTATTCTACTTGAAGATATTAGTGAGGCTCAAGAAGCCACACTGGTTTTTACAAATAGCCATCAGTTACTTTGTTGTTGGATTTTAAGAAAAACTGGCTTTGGTGCATATAAAGAAGACATACTTGGTGTCTAATTTTTCTGAGCATTATTTCTGTCTTCAGGATAAAGTAGTAAATATGTGAATTGAACTTAGCAGTGGGACTTAGATGGTTGATCTATATAACTGAGGGGTTTTTTTCTGCTTTACAGATTAAAGAACAAAAAATTGTAGTTGATGAAATTTCTAATTTGAAGAAGAACCGGGTAAGTGACTCCAAAGTTTCTTTTGATAGATTTCTTTGTAACAACAGATGAAGGGAAACTGAACTATTAGAGAGTGGTTTGCAGATTCGTGAATAACTCCAGCAATACATGAAGTAGATTGAGTTGAGGCAACTTTGTCTACTTATTCCGAAAGATCTCTATGGTGTATTAGGCACATAGGATTGTGATCATCTTACTGATTCTAGAGTGCCTTTTGCTGCTTCTTAGGTGACTGGTTGCTAGTGTGATCCATATTGACACGCTTTGACAACATGGAACTGTGGGTTGTCATTGACCTATGCATTGTTGTGAACCCAGCTGCTCAAAGAAACCATGGTTTATTAAGCACAAAACAAGTCACAATTCACATCCCAGCACAAACCATGGGTCCTCTTCATGATACATAACCATGGTTTATTAGTGTGGCTGGGTTCACACAACACAACCACCCATGGTTCAAAAACAACCCATGGTCAACTCTGTACTCTGGTTTGTAGTGTTGTGTAAATCCCAAAATAGTGTGACATTGCATTGATGCAGTTGTGCACTTCTTTCTACATATTAAGCAATCCTCTGTAAGCTGCTCTGGATGAAAGTGCTTTACATAAATAAATATGTATTTTTATAATATTAAAGACAGATGGAATAGGCATTTCATTAAATAGTTTTAAAATAAAAATAAATCCTGCCTTCAGTTGTAATATTCTGTGAAGACACAAATGAGTGGGGAAGGAATAAAGGGTATTCTGGATGATTAAAAAAGATTTCCCATATTTCAAGTAACTCTGTCTACTTAAAATTAAAAATCAAATTAGAAAACAGCAAGAACAGAGGTCAAAATTCACAGAAATAGGAAAATCTCCTTTGTTTTTCCTGCCTTTCTAAAGTGGTATATTTAAGACTACTTGTTTGTTTTTGTTTTGCAGAAAGTTTACAAGCAGCAACCCAACAGCAATGTATTCTTTCTAGCAGACAGAACCCAAACACTGTCTGAATGCAAAAGTATGTGCCTAAGATTTATTTATACTTGGTCATTAATATATGTATTAGATGGGTTATTTAGCTATCTCAACCTTCCCCAGCTTGGTGCCTTTCAGATGTTTGGGATTACAGTTCTCAGCATACTTAACCATTGGCCTTGCTCCATTGGATGGATGGGATTTGAAATCTAAAACATGTGGAAGGCAACCGATTCAGGGAAGCTTTTTAACTTTAAAACTGGTATCCTTGGTAAAACAACCTAAATTCCCCAAACTTTCATAAAATGTGCTGGGGTTGCAGAGACTGGCACTAGATGGTGTGGAATATGTTCACTATTGGTCCTCCAAGCCATTTTTATATAATGTTGCATAGTAATTTCTTTTGTGCAGAACATGTTCCTAATATACATATTCAATAATGCACTTGGAATAGAGAGTAGCCAGTGATCCGAAAATGTGACTTTCTGCATGTGCCCTTGAAGAGTTTGAATTTGTGCTTCATGAACTGAAAGACCACAAGGCAAACTCTTCGTTAAACCATCTCATGCTCAAAAGCCATTTGTGATATGGAATAGATATGTGTGATTCTAAGTAGAGAAAGAGGAGAAGGAGAAGAAGAAGCAATTCCAAGTTAGGTATGCAGATGGTTGGGAAAGGCTCGATTTGGATTACCATCCTAGCACCCATGTTGTCTCACTGCTTTTCAGTCCATTACAGCAACATGTCATCATGCTGACATTGACTGAACATTCAGTTCATACATCAGCAGCATGACATCCCTAAACATTTTAAGGAAAAAATACGTTCTATGGCTTGTCTCCAATTAACCCCTCCAGTTGACAGAACAACTTTGGTCAAGAGAAATGAACAAGAAAGGGGATAATTCCCCTCAGCCCCAAATCTGTGGTGAAGGGTTGGAAGGCACCCTGGAACAGATCTGAGGAGGGGAGGAGAAAGCCAGCATGCAATAGATGGGGAAAAAACAGGTTCAATAAAGATCAAAGTTTTATCTTTATGGGGTTTCTCTGATTTAAGGATGGGAAATTGACATTCTGATCATATGTAGGTGGATTAAGCTAGAATCAAATAGTCTGACATCTATATGAAAGCTAAGAAAGGAGCAGCTAAACAAAATATAAAATATAAAAGGGAATGGGTACCATTTTTGAATGTAAATTCTTGTGTCGGCTGCCATCTTGATTTCATTTTAGTTTTTTATAAGGAAATCTAGGCATAAATATTCTGAAAGGAATGTATTACTGTAATACATAATGTCAATATTCAGAAGGTAACATGTTTGGGTACTGCTCTTTTTATTAATTTTTACAAATCTAGTGGAAGAATTACCCAATTAAACTTTGAGATGCAAGGTCAAGTGTTCAAATTTTCTTGTGCAAACAGCTGATATAGAGAGGAAAATCCCTTGCATCCCACAACTCTGTTTGCAGGAGTCAGTAAGCAACCTTGGCCCTCCTGTCACTCCCATCATCCCTCCTGGCTGTGGTGGCTAGGGTTAATGGGAGTTGTAAAGTAAAATATTTGGAGGGCCACAAGTTGCCCAGCCCTGGCAAACACAGTTCTGGCCTTAGTTCGGATGTCTATGAGTTTGCAAGCAAATTTCAGTGTTTCCTGGTACACTGATGTGCACACCAGAATTCCTCCTCCTTGCTTTTGCCCAGTGTGTTTGATTGGAGGGATCATTCTGTGAGCGTTACTGTAGATTGCTGGATCATGCTTATAGATAATATGTACGTTTTTTGTTTGCAGTGACTAGGCTACTGGAATGTACAATTATAAGCCGCTCGCAATATTTTCATAACAATTTGTTTTATAGTTTAAAATGAATGTGCTAAAGATTATATTCCCTTTTCTACAGACACCTTAGATGAATTGAAGAAAGCACATCAAGAAATGGAAAATTCAGAGAAAGCCAAAATCAAAAAATAGCCAAATCAAACAAGCATTCAAAATGTGCGGCATTTGCTGTGTGGTCAGCTTGTCTGTTCATCCCCCTAAAGATTGCCTCCTGCAAGAGGATATCCTATGTAATCTTAGAAGAAGAGGGCCTAATAGTAGCCAACAGTTGCTAAAGTCTGTGCTTCGCCCTCCATATAAATGCTTCTTTTCTGGCCATGTGCTTCATTTAAGGGGGCTGATCACTCCGCAGCCTATGGAAGATCCTATTAGTGGCGATGTGTTTCTTTGGAATGGAGAAATCTTTGGTGGAATTCCTGTAAAGGCTGAAGAGAATGACACACAAGTTATTTTTCACCGACTTTGTTCTTGCAGATGTGAATCAGAGGTTTTGTCATTGCTGTCTTCTATTCGGGGTCCTTGGTCCTTTATTTTTTATCAGGCATCCAAGCATCACTTGTGGTTTGGTAGGGACTTTTTCGGTCGCCGCAGTCTGCTGTGGCAATTTAATAAGGATAGCGATAAGGCTCTTGTTCTCACTTCTGTAAGTGCTGTCTCTGATGATCAGTGGTGGGAAGTTCCAGCAACAGGGATCTTCAGAATGGATCTCCAGGTTTCTGCTGCCTCTGAAGCTGTGACTCTAACATGGTATCCTTGGAAATATCCTTGTGAAAAGAATGCAATAGAAACAGCATTCAATGACTCAAGCACATTTTCCAAATATCTACCAACATATGTGTCTTCTGTAAAGGATGAATCCCACTTGTTGTTAGCACCAGTCATTCCTTTGAATAAGGAGATTCATGACACACCAGAGGAATCCCAGTGCTTTGATCTTACCCAGAATGTAATGGATGCAGGTGTCCTTCAGACATTTCTTGCTGAACACCACAAGAAGGAACTAGTTCACCAGTTTATTGATGTGTTGAGTAGCGCAGTAAAGAGACGAGTCTTATGTCTGGTTAGAGATCCTGAAACATTGAAAGGAGAAACATCAGGGGCAGGTCTGAGAAACCCACATGTTGCAATACTTTTTTCCGGTGGCATTGATTCCATTCTTATAGCAGCGCTTGCTGATAGACATGTGCCTTCAGAGGAACCCATTGATCTTCTCAATGTGGCCTTCAGAATGACAGACCATGGTAGTCAAAACCGTTCCATCAGGAAACGCAGTAAAGAGAAGACACGGTTGACACTTGGGCAGGAATGCTTAAACAGCAGCACTGTTACGGCCAATGGCTGCTTGTCATCTTTTAATGTGCCTGACAGAATTACAGGCAGAGCAGGATTGGAAGAGCTAAAGCACATTAGTCCTTCAAGATCGTGGAATTTTGTGGAAATCAATGTTACACTTGAAGATTTAAAAACAACAAGGCAACAACACATACGCCACTTAGTTTATCCACTAGACACTGTTTTGGATGACAGTATTGGTTGTGCTGTATGGTTTGCTTCCAGAGGAGAAGGCCTGATTACCCACCAGGAAAACACAGGTCCATATAAAAGTCCTGCAAAGGTATGAATCCATTGATTGACCTTCAGCTCTCTTGCATGCACACAGAACTCTGTAACTGGTACTGCAGTCATAAGGACTCATACCAGGGAGTAATTCCCATGGGTGATAATGAAACTTAGTTCCAAGCAAACATATTTAGACTTACAGCTCATGCATATTGGGGTGGAGGACCTCAGGCCTGGGGCCAAACCAAGCCCTCTGGAGAGCTTCTGTAGAGGGCCATGTCCTTTCCCCACAAAGCACTGATCATTTAATGTTTTCCCAGTTTTTATGCAACACCTTCCTCATTCTGGAAGGTTAAAATGCTCTCCCAAGGCTCATTTACTATCAGTAAGAGTCTTGTTGGACAAAAATTCTAGCATATTTTAGTTTCCCATGTTCCTTTTGCCTTTGGTCATACACACCACTGGAGTGTGGCCTCCAAAAACTCTGTAATAGAGAATAGCCCTTGGGGTGAAAGAGGTGCAGCGCCCCTGGTAAATATGTATACTGGGGGTCTGTTTGGGCTATAAGGCAGAGATACTAACAGCCAGACAAATAGCCTAAAAGATGGTTCCAGAGGCATCTAGGCAACAGCGATTGGATTTGCATATGCAAGGAAGTCAACAGCACTGCAACTTTCGAAGTTAAAAGTCAAGCTGCTGCAGCTTTCTTTAGCGCTGGAAGCTGCTGCAGAAAAACCAAAGGGGCCCCCATGTCATGCTGCAGTTCTGCTTGTGCCCAATTTGCTTCTGCGGTCTGCAGATTTAATTTCTCTGCAAAGTTTTACTGGCAAAGATTCCAAAAACAAGCTTTCCATGCCAAATAATACTCATTTGGGCATTATGGAAATTGTTCCCCCTTAAGAAACACCTTTCATTCTGTTTTCTAACTTATGATTCAGCTACATTTGGATGAAGTCGTAATAGTCATCTGGTGAGGTTTTCCAATTGAATAAAATGAATGTGTGCTCTTGTTTAAATAAAAGATACTCTTTGTTGATTGGGAATGAACTGAACTTTATATGTTATTTATGGATACTGTTTCTAAATATATATTTGGATCTATCTGTAATTAGATAGTTGAACTTATATGTAAAGCATGTAAATTGTTGTAAAATATTTTGGCTGTAGACCTTCTTGTAAATGGCTTTCAACTGTATTTGGAAAGCAGATATAAATGGAGAAATAAATAAATGCTAAGATGACAAGCTCTGTGTTCCATTGCAGATTGTACTTACAGGAATTGGAGCAGATGAGCAGCTGGCAGGCTATTCCAGGCACCGTGTTTGCTTTAAAAAACATGGTTTGGAGGGTTTGAATGAAGAATTAGGAATGGAACTGGGCCGTATTGCTTCTCGAAATCTTGGCCGTGATGATAGAGTTATTGGAGATCATGGCAAAGAAGCAAGGTAAGCTGGCATGCAGCTCAGTGCTTTTCTCTGGAAAATGTTTAAGGGTGCAGACAGGTCAGATTCCACCTACTGTGTCCTAACACGTATAGATACATGATCTGATGCAGGCTAAGTTAGTCATACAAGTAAGGCATGAGCATTCCACTTACAGTATCCTCTTCTAGTTTTGCACTTTTGTCTTTTTATAGAAATTTGCTTGTATTGAAATTATTTTGACACGTGAAAAAATGGCTTTCAATTGTAACCACAAAATTGCTGCCCACAGCATTTTTTCACATCTGTTTTTCAAACTTGACCTACTTTGCATGATGGGGGAAGAAAAGAAGCCACTTGCCGGTTGTGTGCAGTCCTGCTTTCCATAATTTCCTGAGCCAGGTGCAGATGGCTCGGTTCTCCAAACTCAGTGCGACAGGCAGTTGTGGTGGCTTCCAGACCACCCCGCAACGCAAGAACAAGCCATGGGTTGTGGAATGATTTGGAAGCCACCCTGCGCCACTGGGCTTGAACAGCACAGCAACCTGGGTAATTACTGAAATGAGGCACTGCATGATTGATACATGTGGAATGGGAAAACAAGTCACTGTGGCCTTCCCCCATTGTACAAACCAGTCACCTTGACTTTTAGATCTAACTGTGTTTTCCTTTCTATTATTTTTCACTTCAGATTTCCATTTCTGGATGAAGAAGTTGTGTCTTTTCTGAATTCTCTTCCTGTTTGGGAGAAAGCAAACCTGGCTCTGCCTCGAGGCATTGGGGAGAAATTGCTGTTGCGCATGGCAGCTGCTGAACTTGGATTGACAGCCTCTTGTGTTCTGCCAAAGAGGGCCATGCAGTTTGGCTCCAGGATTGCAAAAATGGAGAACAGTCATGAAAAGGCATCTGACAAATGCTCCAGGCTCCAGTCACTTTCAGGAGACTAGCTGTGTGTATACAGAGTTGCCGTTTTAAAAGTTAATTACACAGTGGACACAAACCAGGAAGCTTCAGGTGCAACTAGTTTGTAATTCTGTGTACTTAATGGGATCAGTGAGACCTGCCTTTTCATTAAATGTGGATAGCACTGAGTTGTACATCTCATTGAATGGACATGGAAGTTGATTTCAATGGATTGCTTCATTGATGATTCGTTGTTGATTTCAATGGAACTGCCAGCTAGCTGGATTGTCCCTAGTATTTTCTGAGTCATATTTCTCTGTTGCATACATGAAATGAAATAAAGTTGCATTTTTTAAAAAAATGTCTCAGCACTTGTCTGTTTTTAGTGGTAAACATTAGCCGTGGTTTCAAAGGAATTTGAACAGACTCTTTTTGGATTCCATAAAGGAAACTTGCTTGTAGTTGAATGCTGTTTCTAGAAGGAATTGGGCATATGCAAGATAGTTCTTGTCCCTTGAAGCAGCAGAATGGCCACTAATGCTGAAAGTGTGTGTTTTACTTCCTTTAAAGCTGGACCCTTTTAGGCAATTAATTTTTTTCCTGCACTTATATGTCCTAGCCAGTATTCTCTGCAAGATCACTTTCTGGATCATGAGTGGGAGCAAATGGAGCAATAGCAATTGCTAAAACCTTTAATTCAATTTTATTTTAATAACATTTTAAACTTGGAAAACTTTACATGTCGCAAAGGGTCTCTTAAAGCTTTATGGTACCAGTTTGAATACCTGGAGATAGCATCCACGGTTACTGGAGAGGGTTTAAATGGTGAGTCGCTTCACCAAGGCAATCTTAATTTCAACATGAAGATTGCTTGAATGGTTAAATACACTTTGGCTTGGACCTGACTAGCAGCTTTCCCCAGCCTCTGGTACCCTCCAGTTATTTTTACTACAGCTCCTAGTTCTTCTGCCCCTTTGGCCATGTTGGGAGGGACAGATTGAGAGCATCAGGTTGGGAAAAGCTGTTTTTCAAAGTCCTTGTGTCGTGATCAGTAGAGACCTTCACAGGTACATTGTCCCAAAAGTGTGAACTTGGTACAGTCTTGGAAGCTCCGGAACATGGGCCAGTCTGGCTTCAGTGCCAGTTCCCTTGGCTGCACCTGTGAAGAGGACCTTTGCACCTCTTCTTAAGATGGGCTCCTTACCTACAAAGGCTGATACTCAGCATAAGCAGAGCTCTCTCTGCCTTTCTCATGAATATCCCTGCACTTTGTGATATTCAAATATCCTTTGCAATATTACTCTGCAGGGATATTTGTTCCAAACGTTGAGGACTATTTTGCTTATTTGTCCCCAGTCATCTCTTAGCAGGTGTGAGGTGAGCAGACATTGAGACCAAGGCCTGACTTCACCACGCAATCTTCAACTTACTTTGCATCTGCCAAGGGCCTTAGCATACAAAATAAATATACAAAAACAAAAACTGCACTTAACTAAAATTGCCCTAATCACATTCTAAATTTATATAAAATGCAAATACCAAAATTAATACATAATCCTTTACAGGAGAAGAAATAGCACTTCTGACAGAAACAATAAGGAATTAGGGCTCTAATAAAATAGATCTTATTTTAATAGCACCAGCTAAAAACGGTTTTGTTTTGTTTTTTGCTGTTTCTGCTGTACATTTTTTATTTTGATCTGCAAGATGGAAGGAGCCACGAACAGAAACTTTCCACCCTGGAATAGCTCTGAATAGTGGAGCGATCACCTGTGCAGGTGAAAAGTACTGCAGTCTTGAAGGCATCCTCACAGTTGCCCTTCATTGTTCCACGGTTCCCATGGCAACGTGGCCTAGGTCGTTCCTCACACATTGCTCATTACAGAACAGCCACAGGACATGAAGTGGGTGCAAACGGACAGGCCTCCTCTCCTCCGGCTCTGTTGCATGCCTGGGTTTGCTTTAGAAAGCACTGCTTGGATGTGGGAAAGCCTTTCTGGTGGGATTTAGGGGTGTTACTTGCACAATAGCTGCCTCTTTCCCTGCCCTGTCTGTTTCTCCCCACTGTAACAGTCCTCAGTTTGTTCCATCCCCTGGCCAAAAAGTACACCATTTAGGACAAATGTCCAAGATTACAGATGCTCTGTCCTTTTACCTTCTTGTTTTGTGCCAACAGTCAGGGTGGTTACACAGAACGGATTGAGTTCTCCCTGCCCGCTTCCTTTTCAGGACTTGTCTAAGTGAGAAAGCGTTTGGAAGATTCAGGTGGTACAGGATGCTATAGTCAGGCTGTTGCCTGAAGCCAGGTAATGAGTGTGTGCGATCTCATTGCCTCCCTGGCCTCCTTTTGGTTCCTGAGCCAATTCAGAGGATCTGTTTATCAACATTAAGAGTCCTAACCAGCGTAGACTGGCTACCTAAAGGACTACCTTCACCCATCTGAACTTGCTGGTTGGTTAAGATCTTCTGACAGTGCCCTCCTCCACTCCAAGATGGGCATTCCTTTACATATATGTTTAGTAACAATGTGTGTTTTCCATTTTTACTCCAAAGCAGGAATAGGGGCCCCAATCTGGATTGTGCCTGCAGCATGGGGAGAGGAACTTTACAACTGGATCAGGCTTTCTTTCCCACCCTGGTGCCTAATTTAGCATTAAAATAAAAAGCATAGCTGCAAGATTAGTAGTTTTGGCTCAGCCTAAGTGAATCCCCGAGGCTGTTGTAGAAATAAAATGAAATAAGGAGGAGTCGGTACACACCCAGAACTCTTGGATTAGCCTAAATAACATTACTGATTAGTGCTACTCTAAGTACATCATAAAAAGCATCATATGAACTGAAATGCATTTTACTGTGATTGCAAAAGTTTAATTACTGAACTTCTTGGAAACTGTTGAGTACAGATAGAGCCTTTTAAAACTTCCAGTCTAAAAGGAATACAGCTTAATTATGGCATTTCACTATCATTTATCATAGGGCTATCAGCATTCCCTCTGCAATGAGAGAGTCTATTGAAATATCTCTATTATATCAAAATGTATTGATATATTTATTGTCTTTTATTTTATACTGGAATAAGTTCTGGATTTAATGCAACCTTATTAACTATTAGATTGATAAGTCTTCTTGTTATAAATGGATGTAATACAGAACTTAATTGATAAATTTATTTAAAATGGTGTAATGAAATGAGAACCTCAATGCAGGATTGAAGACTAGTATTTTACTTTATTGAGGTTCAATTCTCAATCAGTTATTGGCTTCTAATATGTAGGAGAGCATCTGACTACACAGTGAAATATGCATAGAGATATAAAAGCTGTTGGTGGTGGTGGTGGTGGTGGTTTTGGTTATTGGGTCATGGGGGGATTTTTATGGAACATATTTTATTGATTGTTATTGGACCCATGTTGTTTGGGTTTATCTTGTATTCTGTCTTGAGAGTATTCTATCCTTTAAGGCAGCCTAAAATAATTTTAAATTTAAAAAGTGTAGATCCTATATATGCATAAGAAATCTGTGTGAGGAAGGCCAATAAAAAGTGGACTTTTTAAAAAATGGTAAAGAAATATTATGACAAGAAAGCAAGGGAAATTGGACAATACTGTATGCATCCAACAAGAAGTTTCTTCCCCGTGCCTCTGACTGCAACAGAACTAAGATGATTTAGTTAAGTCATGAATAGGAATGAAGTTACTGCTGACTAACTGAAAAACTATAAGCACTTCAAGCTATTTGTGGTTTCCATCCTTATGCCAAACTTCAAGATGAAATAAACTTTCAAAAGCAAGCTCTATGTGATTATTCTTTTAAATTTGTTTTTATGATGCTTTGGCATTTAGAAACGGCAGAACAAAAAAGCTTGAAGGATGCTGAGACCACTCAAAAAACAAGCACCTAGGAATGAACAAGCAGATGAGGCAGCCTATTTAGCTCACTTAGCAGTGCAGAGAAATGCCAGCGCCTTCTTTGAGAAGTACGAGCGAAGTGAGCTGCAGGAATTACTGACCACTTCATTCTGTAGCTGGTTGGCATCCAAGGATGACTTGCGCCACCCACTAGACCTTCCCAGTGGACTTTTGAGCCAGATGAAAAACTTCAATGTTTCAACAGCTATTTTGCTTGCTCCAGCAGAGCCAGAGGTAGATTTGGACTGCAGGGAAATCCATCAAATCATCAGAGAGCTGTCTGTCGGAATTTACTGTTTGAACCAAATCCCTTCTATCAGTCTAGATGCTAATTATGACCAGAGCACTTCTTGTTCGCTGCCTCCGGCATACTTTGACAGCAGAATAGGGCAGATGCTAATCGCTGTCGACTACATGCTGAAAGCCTTGTGGCATGGCGCATACATGCCCAAAGAAAAACGGGTCAGGTTCTCTGAACTCTGGCGTTCCAGCATGGATATAGACGGAGACGGTGTCCCCCAGACAGAAAGAACGGCATGTGCAGAATTCTGTCAAGCTGGTAAGAATGATGTTTGTGTTGGCATGATTGTGAGAACAGTATCAAATATTACTGCGCACTTCATACACAGAACAGGCTTGCATGTAGAAGAGGGTGGAAATGGTACCTCAGGCATCATGTGTGACTACTGTGCCGTTCTTTTCTAGTATATGGGGAAGTCTTAGTCAATCATAGCTTTCCTGGCTTACGTGCATAGAATAAAATAGAAATATGAGCTCTGCTTATAAACTTGGCGTGTGTCTGAAAGGGCATACATAAGCTCGTAAAGTTAGGTTTCACCACCCTCATTGGGGGATGGTTTAACCTTCAATGTTCTGGCCACAATGCCAATCCAACTAGTTAGAAGCAGTGAGTTACATGGAGCAACTGGGGGACCCAAATGATGATCACGGTTTTTACTTTAGCATTTTAAAGTGAATATACCACCTTTGTACAAGGTGAGGAGGGAATGTAGCCAAGTAACACACCACATGCTTGCATGCAGATGGTCCTGGTTCAATTCCTGGCATCGTCAGTCCAGATGACGGGAAATACCTTCATCTGCAGAAGCATTACCACTCAGAGCAGTCAGTTCTGAGCCAGATGGACAAAGAATGGTACTGATGTGTATCACATACCTCAATGGTGCATTATTAGAAACAGAAACATAGAAACAGAGTGAGTCAGAAGGAGCTTCCCGGGCCATCTAGTCTGACCTCCAACACCAGCCAGCTCTGCTCATGACATGCCCACCATGTGAACTTCCAGCCTATCCTTGAACACCCGCACCGATGGGGCCTCAACCACCTCTCGTGGAAGCCCGTTCCACACCCTCAGGGTCCTAACTGTCAGGAAGTGCTTCCTGGCATCCAAATGGAACCTCGGCTCCCTAAGCTTGGCTCCCTTGGAGCGCGTCCTGCCTTCCTCTGCAGGGGAGAACAGGTCTCTGCCCATCTCCATGTGACATCCCCTCACATACCTCTATGCCACCAACATATACCCTCTGAGTATCCTCTTCTCCAGGCTGAAGAGACCCAGTTCCCTCAGTCTCACCTCATACCCCATCCCCTGCAAACCAGCCACCAACTTTGTGGCCCTACACCGCACTGACTCTAACCTGGCTATATCCTTTCTGTAATGAGGGGCCCAACACTGAGCACAATACTCCAGTTGCGGGCACACCAGAGTTGTGTAGAGTGGTAGTAATACCTCTCTTGATCTAGAAGCCACACTTCTGGCTATGCAACCAAGGGTGGCGTTCGCCCTCTTGATCACCGCATCACACTGCTGACTCATGTTTAGCCTGCAGTCAACCAGCACCCCGAGGTCCCTTTCACAAGTGCTGCTTTCCAGCCACTTGTCACCTAACCTGTACTTATGACAGCTATTCCTATGCCCCAAGTGCAAGACCTTGCACTTATCCACATTGAACGCCATCCTGTTGTCTCCTGCCCACTTCCATAGTCTGTCCAGATCCTTTTGGATCTGGAGTACCTGCTCCTCAGTTGTGGCCACTGCTCCAGTTTTAGTGTCATCTGCGAATTTGATCAGCAGACTGTTCACCCCTTCTTCCATGTCGTTAATGAAAAGATTAAACAGGATCGGCCCCAGGACAGAGCCCTGGGGGACCCTGCTTGTCACTGGCCGCCATCCCGATGATTCCCCGCTAATGGTTACCTTCTGCTTTCGGTCAGTCAACCATGCCCTAACCCACCAGACAGTGCTTTGGTGTATCCCAAAACTCCTCAGTTTCTCTACCAGGATATCATGGGGCACTGTGTCAAAGGCCTTGCTGAAATCCAGGTATACCACATCCACTGCATCCCCTCCATCTAGCCATCTCGAAACCTTGTCGTAGAATTCCACAAGGTTTGTCTGGCAGGACCTGTTTTTGCGGAAGCCGTGTTGTGTGGCTGTCAGCCTCCCTTCCCTATGTAGCATCACTAGATCTCTCTCTATTATGAGCCTTTCCATTGTTTTTCCTACAATGGACGTAAGGCTAACCGGTCTATAATTCCCCATGTCCCTTCTACTACCCCTTTTGAAAATTGGGACCACAGATGCCACCCTCCAGTCCTCTGGAACGTCACCCGTTCTCCACGAGGTCTCAAAAATGGAGGCCAGCGGGCGTGAGAGAACCCCTGCCAACTCTCTAATTACTCTCGGGTGTAACCCGTCAGTGCCTGGCGACTTTGTAATGTCCAATGCCCTGAGGAGCCCCTCGACTTCAACGGGGGTGACTCTAATCTGTGCCCCTAAGTCCCCAGCCTCATCTAATCTCCTATGCGGATATCCCCCGTCCTGCTTTGGGGAGAACACAGAGGCAAAATAGTCATTTAGCATCTGTGCCTGTTCCCTCATATCAGTCACTGGATCTCCTTCCTCCTTATTTAGTGGTCCCACCACTTGTCTCCCCTTCCTCTTCCTATTTACATGCTGAAAGAAGCCCTTTTTGTTGCTCTTGATATTCTTGGCAAGTCTCAGCTCATAATCAGCCTTAGCCTTGCGAAGAATCCTTCTGCAACGGGCCTCCTCCTCCCGGTATACCCTTTTGTCTATTTCCCCCAGTACCCATTTCCTACGGAGGTTCCTCTTTCCCTCTAACCACCTCCTTTCGCATCCATGGCGGCACTCTCCTCTGCCTCCCCACCTTACTGACTAGAGGTATCGTCAAGGCTTGCGCCTCCAAAACCTCCCTTTTGAGCGCCATCCACCCCTCCTCAACTCGCTTACCTTCCAGTAACCTATCCCAGGAGACTTTCCCCAGTCTGGCCCTCAGTTGGCCAAAGTTGGCCCTCTTGAAGTCCCAGCTTCTAGTGCTCAACCTGCTGCACATCCCCAGTCCCTTGATCTCAAAGTAAAGGATGAAGTGATCACTCGCATCCAGAGCTCCCCTAATCTGTACTTCATCTATCAGCTCCTCCCTATTGGTCAAGACCAAGTCAAGGATGTTTCCCCCCCTCGTCACCTCTCGGATCCTATGTGTGAAAAACCCTCCCTCTATAGCTTCTAGGAAGTGATGTGACCTGGCTGTCACCACCGAGTGAGTCTCCCAACTAATATCCGGGAGATTGAAATCTCCCATAATTACTGTGTCTCTCCCCCGAGATATCCTTAGAATCTGGCCTGTCAGGACATCATCCAGGGTCTCAAGTTGACCTGGAGGGCGACAACATACCGCCACTGTCAGGTCTCTTTCCCTGTCAAAACCGCTAAGTTTCACCCAGACTGCCTCTACCGCATCCCCATCTGTGCTGCATTCTATCTCACTGCATCCTATCCCTTCCCTGACGTATAAAGCCACGCCCCCACCTCTCTTTCCCTTCCTGTCCTTTCTAAAAAGGTGATACCCTTCTATGTTCACATTCCAGACTTGCCTTTCATCCCGCCAAGTTTCTGTGATTCCCACCAGGTCATACCCTCCTATTCCCAGGACAGCTTCAAGCTCTTCCTGCTTATTACCCATGCTCCTAGCATTGGTGTACATGCACCTCAACTCCTTCCCACCACTTATTCTACTTCAGCTCATTGTCAGATGAGCATTCTGATGCCACCAGAGGCGTGCATCCCAGTGGTGATTGTGGAATGACCCTTACCCAGGTGGAATGCCCTTTGCGTGTGTGTATCCACAAAAATAAGAGTAGAAGGGAACTTACAGTTTAGTGTTATTTCCTGCTTTGGCCTCAGTGGTGCAATCTGAAGTCCTACAACTCCCAGCATGCCCTGTCCAGGAGTTGTAGGTCACCATGCATAGGTTTACATTCTGATGAATTAAATCAAATCAGAGATCAGAATGCTTAGCAGTCATTGAGTAAGGTGGTCTTTTAACAGATTACCCATAACATTAACAAGGCACTGCTCAAAGTTTGTGTTGTTATTGCATTGTATTTACATTTGTTCCACTGCAGAGATATATCTTTGTTGGACAGTAAATATCTGTATTTAACGTATTTGTTTTATATTTCATGTGTTAATAGATCTTTTATGTGAATGATATAGGTCTGTTTGATATTTCAAAAGAACCAGATTTTCAAGGGATCTATGGTGAAAACTTGAATGAAGATCCTACATATGACCCAAACAGTGTGGAGGAAAAAATGTTCTTTATGCAGTTTGTGGACTATATATTACTTAAGTTGACATTCGCTACTACTGAGGTTCAGCAGTATGAAAATGTATTCAAGTTTGATGCAGCATACAGCCTTTCTAATGCCATAAGAATGACTGAGGACCGCCTTGATACTTACTCATATCAGAGGCTGCAGCAGAGGCTAGTTCTTCAACAAAAGCTTGTGAAGAAACACCTAGAAAAAAAAGCAGATATCCGAAAACAAATAGCGTACCTAAAAATAATGACTTTCCTTATTCCATTTATCATCAGTTTAAAAAGAAAAAATAAAGTTCCAAATTTGAATCGCCTTCTTCAGCCATATTCAGGTAAGAGTAGGTTCACCTGCATGTTGACAGACTGGGCAGTATCCGGTGTGATGAGACTGCAAAGGTAAACTGTGGTGCAGCAGTGCAAACGATCTCCATTGTGTTTGCTGTGTGGCAGGGGTGGGCAAGTTGCGGTCCCCCAGGTTTGATCTCTAATTCCCAACAGCTGAGTCAGAACAGCCAGTGCTGAGGGTTCATGGGAGATGTAGTTCAAAAGAACCAGAGAGCCACAAGGTGCTGACCGCTGCTATATGGGGAAACCTGCCACATGTGCCTAGCATTGCTCTAGACATCACTTACACTAGGCTGTATCATCTGTTTTAGCCATGGTTTCACATTAGATACCGTCCATTGCTTTTAATCCATGAGCAAAATCTAGGGTCCAGCATTTATCAGTATGAAGAGACCTTTAAACCAATAACAGTTTAAATGAATTAATCTATATAATTAAATAAGAGTGCCAGTTACTTTCTCTTCCAAGTTAAATTCCTTTTTTTCCTTTTATGTAGATGACAAAGTTAAAACTGAACGTGAATTGCCTCCAATTTTGCTAGGACCAGATTTTAAGTGCCAGCATTTTATGTATGCTCAGAATCAGTATTTCCATCTCCATGGTGGCATTGAATTTGATATTAGCACTCCTTCAGTTGAAGACATCTCAGATGACATCAAGGTACTGAGTCCATACTTTTTAAATAATTTGGCTTGCACTTCCATATTTCGCAGTACAAAAGGATTACTAAAGAAAGATAGTAGCTGGAGTGAGAAAGCCAGGGAGATGGCACTTATTCTTTTGCTTAGTCACAAAGTTGTGCCCAACCCATCACAACCCCATGGACAACATTCCTCCAGACTCTCCTGTTCTCTACCATCCCCCAGAATCCACTTAAGCTCCCACCAACTGCTTCAGTGACTTCCTCTAGCCACCTCATTCTCTGCCGTCCCTTCTTCTTTTGCCATCTATTGTGCCCAGCATTAGGCTCTTCTCCAGAAACTCTCCTTCTCATTAGGTGGCCAAAGTATTTGATTTTCATCTTCAGTATCTGGCCTTCTAAAGAGCAGTCAGGGTTGATTTCCTTTTAGACTGACTGGTCTGATCTCTTTGCAGTCCAAGGGACTCTCAGAGGTCTCCTCCAGCACCACAATTCAAAGGCCTCAAAGGTGCTCAGCCTTCCTTATGGTCCAACTGTCACAGCCATACATTGCAAGATGGCATTTAACACTCCCACTGTAGGATGAGTTTCACAGTTCAGGAGTTCTCCTGCATCTAGCATTGCAACTGGAGGCTCCAGTAGTTTCAGTGCCCTGGCATGCCTTCTACCAGTAGCATCTGTTTTGGCAGCTGAGTCTTCTCCTGCACAGGGAAAGGCCAGCCACGTCTATCTATACGCCGGTGTCCCCTTCCTATTTGTGTTACTGTAATGCAGGCATCCCCAACCCGTGGGCACATTTGGCAATTTAAGTCACAGCTGTGGGTGCAATGATTAAGGATCTTACAATGCTTTTGATATGTGAATGAGCAGCATATAAACATGACTTTCAAATGGATGCTTATTTAGATACATATTTTGTCAGCTAGATAAAGCCAATGTATAATTGCTAGAAGGTGGCATTCATGTATGTATATTTAAAAATGGAGAAAATGGAAGAAAAATGGGGAGCCTGTTGAGAACTTCTTCATGGGCACCACTGAAGAAGCTGTGAGCCCTACTGTAATGCATTCCAGGTGGGTTTGAATTTGAAGATAGTTTGGAAGCACTCATGGCCAGAATCTTTTACTTGGTTAAGCCATATCTCAGCTGTTTTGAAAGAGTTTCACTGGCTGCTAGTTGACTTCAAAGCGCAATTCAAAGTGTAAATACTTCTTTTTTTAAGCCTTCAGTGGTTTGGAACCCAGATACCTGAAGGAGGATCTTTTTCCATTCCAACCAACTCATAGCAGAGGAATTCAGAGTTCTAGCTGTTCACCTTTTTCCTGATTGTCTGGAGAGCATCAGCAGAGGGAGATCATGGAGAGATCTCCCTCTGCAAACTCATCCCTCCCTGTTACTCAACTTTTTGGGAAACACCTCCCTGCTCCTTTGGAAACTGCTGCTTTCAAAGTGCTCTTTCTGCTTTGAGGTGATGCGACCATGGGGCAGGGCTTAAGAGAAGGAGACAAGGAGGTTTTGCAAGTCAAAAATTCCCCAGTGTTGTCCTAATGTTTTACAGATTTGTAGGAAAATGCCTTTGAGCAGCACTGGGGATGGTTCACATGTAATGACTAGCTATGTGTTGAGCCATAGGCCATGTCGGAGTGAAAACATCCACTATAAATCTATTTCCTAAAACATCCCAGGAAAACTCCTGGGTTGTTGTGACAAATGAACTTGGCATTCTGGATCATCTAGGGTTACATAAACCAGTTTTAACTCAACAACAAAGCATAGGCTAAAACTCTGGATTATTTAACCATGATCCAAGCTGGGTTCACGTGTCAAGGAACTTCACTTGCTTGCTTGTTTTAGTAAAGCAGAAGAGAGTGTGCAGGCAAGAGTTAGCATGCTTCTTGTTCCCATTGAGAAATGAGCCATGGTTTGTTAACCATGGATGATTTAATTGTGCAAACTGGGCCATCAACAAGCTATTGTTCAAAACATTCTGACAATACCAGGCTGGGGGTGGCTTCTTTCCCTAGTTAATTCTTATGTAATTTTGGTACAACTAATATTATGTATGGCCAGTTATGGTGATCATTTCTCCTGGTAGACCGCCTATGATGATATGTATGCATGTGCAGCAAACCATCTTACTCAGCTGTTGGACCCAGATGCCCCCTACAGAGAACATTACCCCATACCAATGATGGACTTTGATGGCAGGAGGTAAGGAACATGGTATACATTTATGGTTAAGACCCAAAAGTCCTTTTGATATCTGAAAGCATTTATGAATGTGCATTAGAAGCCTGATCATGTATATATGAAGTAGGAGTTCTTAGATATCCTAACAAGAAAGGATGAATACAATTTATTGTTGATGCTGATAATGCATAAGGAGGAATGTTTGCATGAAGAATTTAGGACAAGTTCTCTCAGTCTACTCTGTGACGATAAAGGGAATGCAGCTGTGTACTAAATAACTTGTAGGCAGAATCCCATCTGATAGAAAACGATGTGCAGTCTATTAGCCCTTTATTTTAAACTTCCTGTTCCTTCTGCTTCTATCAAGTGCTTGCTTTTTCTTTGCATCATCTTTTTTATGCCTAGATTTTAGACCTGCCACCAAAGGAACTTCAGTGAGCTTCGCAGTATTCAGTTGTTTAAACTATGCTAAAGTTATGTTTGAGCCTGTGTGGTGTAGCGGTTGGAGTCTTCAACCCAAATTATGGAGGACCAGTCTCCCATTCCCAGTCAGCCATCAAGCTCACTAGGTGACCTTGGACCCCCTCAATCTCAATCTCAATCTCAATCTCAATCTCAATCTCAAAAACAGGGCTGCAGTGAGGATAAACTGAGGGAAAGAACCTGAACGTCTGGAAGACAGGCAGGGTAAATGGAATAAATCAAAAAACAACCCCGTGGTTCAGTTTAGATGATTTAAAACATGTAGGTACCACTTGTGATCCACCTTGCTGAATGCAGTCTGCCTACCATATGTTTAGCACTGTCTTCCACAACTTGGCTCCCTCTGGATGTGTCAGGCTACAATTTTCAGCATCCTTCTATCACGAGAGCTGGAAAGGGATGCTGGGAGTTGTAGTTTAACACATGGAAGGTGACAAGTTGGGGAAAATATGGTAGACCACCAAGTGCATGACCTTCTCACTGCACTCCAACTTTGCACTCCTAGACAGAGAACAAAACTAGGTTTAGCATGACCCTGGTGTGCTGTCATACATGTCTGGTGGGAAGCGCTTATCTTAAGGGGTCTCAGGTTGTGCAGACTCACACTCAAGACCTTATGCAATACAGGCTACAACACCAATGTTTTATAGTATTCTGGTTGATGTCACATATGTTTTCCCCCCTGCGTTTCAGCTATTATGTCATCGGCATTGATCTTGAACCTTTTTACCTGCTTTTTAAGACCCATTGGTGGGGAGCCATAAATGAAATAATAAGTACACTTAAACCCAAAAGGCTTCCATTAACTGATCTTCAAGCAATGGAACAATTCAAGAAAAGATTTGGTTACAAGAAAGCTATTAAATGTAAGGTATGTGTTTTGGAAGGGGCTGAATATTCTGGAAACAAAGGTGTATGCATTTATATTTGCTGAGACAGCTGTTTCAGTGCATATAAATTCATTTCCTAGTCATAAGGATATTTTATTCCAGGGGCCTGTTCTGAAAACACCCAGATTGCTAATAGGGTTATGTTCCTGCTGCCTGACTTTTCCTTGAGGAACAGTTCCAGTATGCATTCTTGATTCTTATTCTTGATGCTTATTTTTTTGTACTAAATAGGCAGTTGAATGTGTAAACTGGTTTGTCGAAAAGCGTTGTGTTTGAGGTGACACCAAGACTAATGTGATGGTGGCAATCAGGGTGGCCATGTTAGAACTTTTCTAAGACATTTTGCTGAGGGACTCGGGAGGCATCTCTATGGGGTTGCCACTGCTGCCTCTCGTGCCTGCCACTGGGGGAAGTTGCCTCACTCTGCCGAATGGTAGGGCCACTCACACGACGTGTGCAAGAGAGAACAGGGCTCGTTCTGCACCTTTTCCAGTTGCACAGAAGAGGGAATTGCAATGGTTGTGCTCAGTCCTGCAAGTGGCACCCGCTGAATTTCATCCACATGAAGTGGCAAGAGCCCTCTTCTCTCGCACACCTGGCCACCCTGGTGGCTGTGATACCCCATTCTCATCCACATCATCATTGGCTGCTGAAGTCATCATGTGTGGAACCTGCATGCAGGTTCATCATCTTTCCAATTCTCTTGTTTTCCCTGGGCAACAGTGTTATAAGGCAAAACTAAATGAATTTTAGTTTGTGCGGGGTTTTTAAAAATGTAAATGGCATAAACTGCTGGAGGGAAATGGCAGCAGATGTGGAAGATCCTGCTGTGATCCTGAAGAAAGTTTGTGCTTGAATTGGGAGGAGATCCATATTGGCACAATGCAGGATTCCCCCACCATAGCAAAACTTGCTTCGGAACAGAGATTTTCCTCAGTAAAAAGCCAAGAAAGTCTTGCCTATCTGACTGTGTTGCTTTCATAACCTCTGCAAAGATCTTCAGCAATGCGGATACTGAGGCATTGCTGTTTCACAGGGTAGGGTAGAATTACAACTTGTGCTTCCACACATGGATTGGGTTCACACGTCATGGCAAGCAACCCTGCATAGTTTCCAACAGTGCATGGTTTTTTGGTTCGATATGCCTCACAGGAGAACAAGTGGTGTCTCCTTTAGTATGGTTCCCACCCTCCTCACTTGGTCCTCCCACTGTTGGCACATAAACCCATTATCCACTGAGCCTGAAATTAAATTCCCTGCTAGGTGGCTGGAAGTCTTACAGTTCTTACAGTTGCGTGCTTTCCAGGGGATTCTGTGGTATCTGCATGCCAGGACTGTGGAAACCATAGTACTGTATTTGGATGACTGGGGAAACCATGGTGAAGCATGGAAACCATAGAACAAACAATTGTTTCTCATCATGGTTTCTGAAAACCAAATGAACTATGCTGAAATACCATGAGAGTGTCCAGACGACACGACAGACCAACTTGCTCAAGAAACCACTGCGGCTTTCATGTCACGCAAATCCAACCGTACTATTACTTTATCTTTGTAAAATCAGCAGTGCCTATCCCTATGGCAAAGTCAGAGGCCCAAAAGAAAAGTGTGCTATTATAGAATTAATTGGCAATGGAACACTTGCCCTTTAACATTTTTTCTTTTATCTTATTTATTAAGAACGCATAAGAATATAAGAATAGCTGGATCAGACCAAAGGCCTATAGTCAGTGACCTTTTCCTGACTAATCAGAGTAGGTTGCTTTATGCAGAACAAAACAAAAAATGAAACAAAAATAATAAAAAAGCACACTATGAACAGCTGCAAAGTAAATACCAGTGATAAGAAGCTATGAAGGAAATTCATTGTATTGTATTGTAGTCTTTTCAATTTTTTGAATGTGTCTTTTACTCATGTGGTTTTAGAGTCTGTCTTTTGGAATGAAATCTGCTGCTGAAAGAGGTCTGTCCGCCATCTTCCTTACCTTCTGCCGCAAGATGTCCATTTCCAGTCTCAATATGACCGATGAAAGCGGTTATGCCCTTATCCATCATGCAGCTATCTACAACCGAGTGTCAATTCTATGTCAGGTGGTTAAATCACATCTGACTATCAATCAGAGGCGTACCTTACCAGCTAGCCAAGGTAAGGCACATGATCTACTGAGAAGCAATGAGGGTCAGAAAAGTCCTCCCTCCTTTGGCAAATAGAGAAGGAATGAAATTCTAATCAGGAAGGAGAAGGCCTTTCTACTATGGCACTTGTTCTTTTTCTTTGTTATCCAAAGGACTCTGTGTAACAGAGGGAATCTAAGTCACTCATTCTAGAGGAAGGCATTCTTCATTCCATTTTCTCTCTCTGATGCACGAGGTACATTATTGCTTCACAATATTAATTCTCCATTACTGATTCCAGACACTTGTTCAAGACATCCAGTGCCTCTTCTGGGGTTCTGGTAGCTCTTCTGGTAGCTTCTTCCAGTGGGTTCATGTAGATGTGAAATAACAGGAGGGACGAGCATAGCACCACAGAGCAGAGCAGCACTCCCATGGGACCCCCTTCCTGAACTTTCCTGGCAGGTGGAAGCAGTCCTATGGAGGAGCAGGGCATCTGCTCCCACCCTAGAGCCAGTCCCAAAGCATCCCATGGCTGGTCACAGCATCTGAGAGCGTCAGCAGTGTCAACAGGATTGCGCTCCCTCTCTCCATCTCCCAGTATAGGTCCTCCACCAGTCACTAGGACAGTTTCCATGGCAAAAACAGATTGGATTGCATGTAGATAACACAAGTCATCCACGGAATACCTGACATTCAACGCCTGCCACCTGTGCAGACACCATGGCCAAGAATGAAAGTTTAGCAGTCGGCTGATAGGTATGCCAAATCAGAACCTTGTTCCTGCTATCCCACCATTTGCTTGGAAGCAGCTCTCTAAGGTCTTGGGTCCCAATCCTACTTCCTTGGGTCCTTTCACTGGAGTTGCGAGGAACTGAACCCGGGATCTTGTGCAAGAAAAGTGTGAGCTCTTTCACTGCATTATGACCCTTACACAAAGTTCTACTTCATGAAACCCACATCAGAAGGCCTACCCTAATCCACAGTTTGTTAGATGCTGCCAGGATCAGGGACGGAGTAACCCTGCAAGTGCCTACACAACCAGGAACAGCTTTACAGGTGCTTACAGGGACACTCCAGCCCCAATCCTGCCAGATCCTTTCCCAATCTTTCCTCTGGGGCTTTCCAAACCATTCCTACAAGTTGCAGTGACTCAGCCCCTATTTCATACATGATGCATAGTACTTTACAGAGAATTCCTGGGCCACCTTTCTGGGTGCTGTAAAGTATTTCAACAATCTTTCATAGCATCTCTCTCCCTCTCTCTTTGCCTATACCTATATTAAACTCCATTCCATGTTAACATCCAGGTCTGTTCGATCATTGTTTTGTTTAGTTGCTAAGTTGTGTCCAACCATTCACAACCCCATGGATAATATTCCTCCAGGCTCTCCTGCCCTCCACCATCCCTCGGAGTCGACCCAAGCCCACACCAACTGCCCCAGTGACCCCATCTATCCATCTCAACCTCTGCTTTCCCCTTCTCCTTTTGCCTTCAATGTTTCCCTATTGGATCATTAACAAATTTCTAATTCTAACTTTGCTTTTAGCGTGAGTGAGGGTGGTCCAGTGACTAGATTGAGGGTGAGAAGCTGAATCTGGGCTGAAATCCCTGTTCATCCATAAATGTATTGGCCCCTCAGGTCTCAACCTATAAAAGTTGCCATATTTGTGATACTGCGTAGTCACTAATACATCGGAGTCTACAAACCAAACGTATTATTCCTTGCTTGTCTGGATGCCATTGACCTGTTAAGCATGTGTGATGCTTAATATGGCCCTCTGCAGGTTGGAGGCAAATGTCAAACCCGCATTGGTTAGAATGTCTGTGTTCTTCAAGAAGATCCCTCCTGGATCAGGCCATTGCCCATCTAGCTTAGCATTCAGTTCACCTAGCAGTGGAACAGGTGCCCACAGGAAGCCCACAAGTAGGACATGGGTGCAACTGTAATCTTGTGCTTGGGTATCTCAGCACCTGGTACATGTAGGCACACTGCCTCTGACACTGGAGGGACCATATGGCCACCAAGACCAGTAGCCACCTTCTTCATGAGGCTACTGGTCCAATAGCCTTCTTCTCCATGAGTTTGTCCAATCCCGTTTTAAAGCCATTCGTATTGGTGGCCATCACTACAACTTGTGGAAGTAAATTCCATCATCTTAACCATATGCTGTGTGAAGAATACTTCCTTTTATCTCTCCTGAACCTCCCTTCACTCAGCATCATGTAATGACTAGAGGTTATAATATTATGAGGAAAGAAAATGTCTCTGTAGCCACTTTGTCCATACCGTACGTAATTCTGTATACCCCTATCATGCCTCCCTTTACTCAACATTTTTCTAAGCTAAACAGTGCCAGCTGTGATTTTAACTCATAGGAAACTCCAACACCTTGATTAATTTGGTTGTTCTTTTCTGTATTTTTTAACTCTGCAATGTTCCTTTTTAGGTGCAGCGATCAGAACAGCACACAATATGTACCTAAGGTTGGGCTATAAGGCTCTCTATTGTTATGTATGGTAGAATATAATGTTCATTCATTACAGGGAAACGTATCTGTTTTCTAGTCATACGAGAGTTTCCATCATTAGGATGTTGCATAGTGCAAGAAAAATAGATGTAATAGCCAAGTCATAATAAATATATATTATTTTAGGAAAACGTTTCCAGAAGACAGAGACAAGGCCTGGTAAGTTATAAATAATTTGTTGTCCTCTTGAGTTTTTTTTTTTTTTTTTTTTAATAGGCACAGCATATCCCATCAAGCTGTGCTAGCTTTAGGAAGAATGGGGCAAGAGCAAATTTCTACAGATTCTGTGCTATCTAGAGCCTCCTAGAGTGATCCCTTAACTTCGCATCTTTGAGTCAGTTGTAGTTCCACTCTTACCTTCCATTGGTACAAAATCCAATCCATCATGTGGGCAATTGCTTCAGAAGTCATTATGCACGCACTGTTTCACGGATTTGCCCAACAGACAGTTGGTAAGCAAACTGGCTGTGGAGAGAAGTTGACGGTACTTTGTGATAATCCTGAAAATCCTGCATGGTTGAGATTAAAGTGTGATTAGATTTTTGGACACTATACTTCGATTAATGTTATAGTAAGAATGCATATAATAAATAATATGCTGGCAGTCACTTTTAATATTTAATATACTGGCACAGACAGATCTTCCATGATGTATGTTTGGCTTAAAAATCATTCTGTTCGGTTTCAGGAACACTTGGTTTCTTTGAAAAGGATGCCCCTGGGGAAAGGACTGGTGAGTTACCAATAAACTTAGCATTGCCTTCTTTAAATATTATCCAGGTCCGTTCTGTTAGTGTGTCACATGCGTGTGCATGCATACACACAAAGGATGAGCAAAACAGGGATGAGGCTTAATTCAATGGAGATGTTCAGACTTTTTTAAACTATGTGTTCAGAAGCTGGCAGCAATGCAGTTAAAGGTGCAATCCTATGCACATCCTGACAGGAAAAAGTC